ATCTCATCTCATCTCATCTCATCTCTTCTCATCTCATCTCATCTCATCTCATCTCATCTTATCTCGTCTCCTCACATCCTTTTTTTCTTATACCTTTTTTTTATTTTCTTCTTCTTTTTCATTCCTTCTTTCTTCCTTTATTACCTTCTCCTCTTTTAATATTTTTTCTTTATTTTTTTATTTTTTATTATTTGCATATTTGATGATCTCTTTTTTCTTAATATTCTATATTATTTTTCATGATTTTAATCTTTTGTATTCTTTTTTTTCTTTGGTTATTATTATTTTTGCCACTTTAATCTTACTTCATTTCATAATTTTTAATGTATTCTTTTATTTTCTCTTTTGTATTATGTTTAATTTTTTCTCTCCTTTGTCTCCTTTTCTAACTTTTCCATTTATATCTTTCTCTTTCCTCCACGTTTTCAGTGATCACCTTACCCAAATTCAACACCTCCCTGGCTCAGAAAATCCTGGATATTGCTTTATTGTCGGAACCATGCCTACGTCCAAATATCTTTACTGTCATTAGCCTCCCAGAAGTGCAACTTTATTCGTTGAATTTAGAGGACTATGAACAAGGTATGCTTCAACTTTGACTCTCTATCTCTATCACAGCAAATTGCTCGTCACCGCAACTTTTAGCTGTCAGTCTATTGCCCATTCTGCCATGTGTATACACAACTCGCGGTATTCTGCGGAATATGTTTTCCAAATGCCAATTTCTTGGGTGATCTGGTGATAAAACCTGAAAGCCCCACCTTCTGTTTGGCTCTGTAATCCTTTTCCGTAGGACACCAAAACAATTGGGTTTCGGTTTTCCTGAAGCCTGCTGCATCAAGCAGACTAGACCCAGGCCTCATCAACATCGACCGACGGGACTCTAAACGTGGCTGTGTAGCGCTGCCGTGTCGTGAATTCATACAAAACATGTCAGCTTTGGTGTTCACGTAATGCAGCCCATTCGGCTCTATGAGACCGCCCACATCATCACCATCAGCAACATGTTCTGCTCGGAGACGGCACTTTCGCGTTTCTGATCCCGTCGGGTGTTGTTGCTGTGGCGACAGATCGAGTCTGTCTGACGCAGCGACTGAGCGGATTGGCAAGTTTGCCTCAAGTCCCACCTTTGCTCCACTCCCTTTGCATCGCGTCCACCAGCTCAGGCCATCCTCAGGCGGCCCAGCATCCTCGTTCAGATGGGCCCCAGCCGCATTTACGGTCTGGCCGAGACACGGCCGGAGAACTACTCGACGTCGGCCACGGAAATGGCAAAGCGTGTCGTCGTCACTGACTTCCAGCTGTCGCTGGAGCAGGCCAGCTTGCTGCAGTTCAGTCTGCTCAACAAGATCAGTTCGCCACTGAGGCAGAAGCGGCTCATCAATCTGTACGATCTGACCACATGTGAGCATCAGCCGGCAGCTGCACAGACAAACGTACCATTCCTATTCAGCATCTGCCTTCCTTTTCTCATCTCTTCCTCCACTTCTTTCTCTTTCGCCTTCTCCTCATCTCTTCCCTCTGTCTTTTCCTTTGTTTCCTCCTCTTCGTCCTCTTCCT